ACAAAAGGGAGTGGAGCAAACAAAGAGGCTGAGAGGCAAAAGAAAGCAAAGGGCAAAGCTAAAGAAGTTGGAGTCCAAGCGCCAAATCTCAAGGCAAAAAGAGGGCTGATGTTGACTCTAGTGAGAAAGTTCCCCAAAAGAAGAATGGCACCACCCCAGCTCAAAGGAAACTCTTTGACAAGCTGCAAAAGGTGGATGTGAGGCTAAATAGATACCCCCATGTGCCATCTCTAAAAGCCTTGTTAATCTATGAAGACTGCTATTCTATGCTTGAGACAATGGAGCTCACAAAGCTGGTGGGAACTCCTTATTCAGCCAACAAGGACCAAGTGCTTCAATTCTTTGCAAATTTTGAAGTGACATTCTATGATCCAGGAGAGGAGACTCCTGAAGAAGATGGTGATGGCTTCATCACTTTCAGAGTTTCCAAGAAGAACTATAGGATGTCCTTCTCAACAATTGAAGATGCCTTTAAATTCTCCTATGGAAGCGCTAGAGGTCAAAATCTTTGGGTTAGCAAAGAAGAGATGAGAAGCCTTTGGGAGCACGTGGCTAAGGGAGCTTTCAATCCAGGAAAAAGCAAGGCTTCCCTGATAAAAAATCCAGCCATCAGATATGTGCACAAGGCGCTGGCGCATACACTCTTTGCTAGGAAGGAAAGTGGAGCTGTTGAAGGAGGAGAATGGGAGTTGATTGATCAAGGTCTTATGAGCGTTTTAGACTGCACAAGGCAAGGTGTTGAGATCAAAAGAGCATATTGGACAACTGGAATGGTCAGCATCTTCATGCAGCAACTTCTGGTCATCAAACATTGGTTAACTACCAATGATGACAAGGCGCCAAAGCTGTATTGTGCTGGCCTTATTACACAATTGATGGAAGCTGCAGGAGTTGAGAGTGGACCACCAACAGTCAAGATCACATACTTAGACCTGCCATACCTGAAGAAATCAAGGTTCCTTGGCAAAAATGTGGGTGACAAGTTCATCTACAACTTCATCCAAGAAGATGGATTGCAAGGCTTCTACTCCCTGATGTGCATCTCACATCCTTCTCCAACCCCAACAGAAAGCTGAAAGCCAAGGAGGAGCTAGAGCCCCTAGTAGAAGGCGCTCATTTGCTGGTTATGAGGAAGTGAGAGCTTGGGTGCCACCAAGAGCAACTTGCCAAGAAGGTCCAAGGAGGAGGAGACTCACAAGGAGAGAGAAGCCAACCAGAAACCACAACATTGACCTCATGGAAGACATTTCAGGCGCCTCCCACTATTCTCACACCACCTTCTAAGGTACCAAAAAACTCCTCCATTGTAAATACCATTGCATTTTTTTTAGTTTTGTAATATATTTATGTTGCTTCTCTCTTCTACTCTTTTATTACACGAAGGATTGTGTAATTTAAGTATAGGGAAGAGATTTGGGGTTTGACTTTGTTTGTTCTTTTCTTAGTTTTTCCTTTTTATCTTTGAGTCTCATGCATTCATCTAAGTGCATTAAAAAACTGAAAAATCGAAAAAAATTAAATAATTTGCATATTTTGCAAGCCAAAAAGAAACGCATGTAGCTGCATTCATTTGTTTAAAATCGAATCTAGTATTTTTCATATAGGTTGCATTGCATTTGCATAGGGCATGATGATGATAACTCCTTGTAAAATCCTAAGTGTTTAGAACTGATTTAATTGTCTCAGTGATTAAATGTTGATGCATCATAAGAAGTTAAAAACTAAGGCTAAACCATACTCTTGAATGCTAAATCTGATCTTTTAGTCTCATGCTGAAATCGCTTGCTCTTTGAAAATCATCCCTATTTATTAGAACCATTAATTTGAATTGTTAATTATCATGTTCTTGCAATGAAAAGTCATTTCATGGATTACCCATATACATATTTGGACTTTCTTTCTTCCTTTTTACCTCTCTTGCTAGTCCAAATAGCTGATTCTGATCATTAATGGACAGTTACCTCACCTTAACCTTACCTTCCTTTCAAACCTAAACACTATCTTTGTGTGTGAGGCCTATTTTTGAATGAACTAAGCATAAAATGTTAGGTAGGCACGACAAGGACTGGTTACTATGTAGAACTAGCTCTTCACTTTGAGTTAGACATAGGTTTAGGATGGTAGTTATAGGTCTGGGCGGATTTGGGTGTTTCGATGATCTAAAATGAGAAAGTGGGAAGAGAAAGAAAGTAAAAGGGGAAAGAAATGAGAATGGGAAGCAAGCAAAAACTTAACATGTATGGAACCAAATAAGCTCAAAAAGAGTGGTCATTATGAAGATGAAGTCTCAGCAACAACAACAAAGAAGGCACCAAAGCCTAATACATCAAATGGATGAAGAAAAGGAGACTCTCCAATACAAAGAAAAGGCGCCCACGACAAAGGAGCAAAAAGAAGATCACAACAAGGTGATATCAATTAAGAAGCTTCCCTGAAAAATGGCAAAGTGTGGAGAGTGAGAGAGTGCTGAAGAAAGGGTAGTTAGGATTGGTTTTGATTTTGGGTAAGAGTTTTGGGGTTTTAAACATTCTTAGTCATTGGGTAGATAGTAATCTATCCTTGTATGCATAAGTTGTGCTTCACCTTCAGCGTTATGCCTAAGTTCATTCATTTTTGAGAGAAACCTTTGCATTTGAACCCACATTTTGATGAGATCATTTTTATCTCATGACCTTAATCCTTAGCCAAATGATACCACTTGATTTGCTTTAACATGATTCACTTGGTTACAAAGATTAAATGAATGTTAAAGGGATTGATTGATTTGAGCATTTGACTAAGCTGAGCAGAGATCATTTTGAAACTGGATAGGCACGGCTAGGTTCTTTAAAGTATAGTTGATTGTGTTTTACATCTTACACTTAGGCACTTAGACATTGACCTCATTTCTTTACCTTAGCATTTTTGGATTTGAGTGCCCACCTTCAAACCTTACTTCCTCCTTGTCTTAGTTTGTTTGCTTGAGGACAAGCAAAAGGCAAGTGTGGGGGTGTTGATATCTCCATTATTTATACCCATTTTAGCTTGCATTCATCACTAGTTTTAGTCTCTAAATATGCATATTTTGCTTCTTCTTCTCCCATTTGCATACATTTAAGAGTTAGTGTAGTTTTAGGAGTTGTATTGCATTTTGCATGCATTTGGAGTTTTATTCAGGTACTAGAAGGAGTTTGGAGACCATGTGGTGCAATGGATATGAGCTGGGAATGAAGCAAGGAGATGGACAAAAACGGATAGGCCAATATCGATGACAACATCGACATCATCTGATCGATACGGTGCATATCGATGGGAGTATCGACCACCTCAACATCGATACAGTGAAGGCGTGGTGTAAAGGCAGCATATCGACTAAAGGAGACCTCGATGCAACAAAAGGGAGCCCATACCAAGCAGCGTATCGACGTCCCAAATCGATACACAAAGACAGGACAATAACGAGGTGCTGTATGGACATGTTTGCCCGATAAACCTTAACTAAAGGGCAATTGTATCAACTTCACACCAAGGAGGGTCAAACCGATACAACATTGAAACTTTCTGTATCGAGCAGCATATCGACCAAGGGACTTCGATATAACCTAGAAGAAGATATGATATCGACATGAGTATCGATGTGCATGATCGATATGGTCAGTCCGAGTCAGCCTATTTTCGTTTTAATCTTGGTTTACTAGGGGTTTTCTAGTTCCCCTATAAATACTAATGTCCTAAAATGGTTAGGCAACTTAGATCTTATTATTTTTCCTTCTGTTCTTGCACTAAAAACCTTTCCTTTTTTCAGCTTTGCTTTGTAAGAACTAGTTTGATTTAGTGAATTTCTGCACTTGCCTTTAATCTATTCTTGCTTATTCTGCTTTCTAATCATGCTTGACCATTATTTCTCTTTGGAATTTGTTGTTTTGATTATGGCTAGTGACTAGTCTTATTTAGGGTTTGAGATGGGATCGATTAGAGGGGTTTTAGGACTAGATTAGTGATGTCTTATGTTTAATATGATTGTCTTCTCTGTATTACATGTGCTTAACACTAGATTAGTTTAGGCCAGACTTGTTTAGTATCATGGCTTTATCTTATGTCTGATAAGTTTTTGATGAAATGCTGCATTGAGTCACTTAGAGGATTTGTTCTCTTAGCCTAAGGAATTAGATGTCTAAGGTGCATTTTGGCTTTATAGGATTGGAGTTCAATTTTAAATGCTTGATGATCATATGTTTGAATAAAAGAATTTGTCTTGAATATGTGCTTAGCAAAGTGATTAGTATCAAAGAATTGAGCTAGTTATAAATGTTAATCTTATGCTTAGAAGATAGCATTGTTTGAATGGATTTGAAGCATTACTAGTTAGGTTCTAATCCCCTCTTAATCAATAACCCCTATCTTAGATCTTTTTTTATCTATTTGAATTGTCTGCTTTGTTTAGTTTAGTCTGCTTTCTTGAATTTGGCTTGACTTAAGTGATTTGCGGCATTCTTAGTGTCTTAAGAACTCAGATGGATCGATACCTTTCATACTGCAATGACATGAGTGTATTAGGATTTGATTAGCGAAAACACCTGTTATCAACAAGGGAGATGAGAAGAACGAAGACTACCTTATTATTCATTTCTGCTGTGTAACCGTTTTGTTTCTCTCAAATTGATGATAGCAGAAGTTGTCAAAGTTCCTCGTATAATAGAATTTTGCCACATGAACTTATAAATTTCTTGCTGATTTATGCGATACATGGCATAAGTTAGGGAAGATACTAAAACATTGGTCAAAAAACAAAAGTTCACATGTGATAAGTTAGAAAAGATAATAAAATCTTAGTCCAAAAAAAATTAGGAAAGATACTAAAAATTAATATTTTTATTTATTTTGGAATCCAACTTAATCATACCCTCTATCTTGGATTGATTGCCTAAACCCCCCTCTAGAGTACTGCTTCTGCATCAATCCCCCCAAACTTAAAAGCTCTTGATTTTCCCCCCTAAATTCATACATTTAATCATATTCCCCTCCAAACTATTTTTCTCTTCCTAATTCCACCTGCAACGTTAATTCTCCTAAGTTGCGATCAATTTAACAAAACCGCGTTTATAAATTGTGATTGTCTATAAACAGAACCCAGATAAAACCCGACTCAATCTATAGATTGACACGACCCAATCAAACCCAAACCTGACCCGACCTGATCCAGAAGCCAAGCTGTTATACGTTTCATTTGTAATCTCATGACGACAGGTCTCTCTCTCTCTAAACTCAAACATAATTTTTTTCTCACCACAAGTCAATGGAGACGACGACTCCATCTTCTTCCTCTTTTAAGTTTACTCTCCATGCTTGAGTCAAACCTCGTAACCAAAAAAATCGTCTTCCTCTCTAATGAATTGGTTAAGGTTTTGTTATCTCTCAAGGTATCGCTTTCTCAGGCTAAGGATTTGTTTACTTTTTCTAAGCCAAGTTAGCAAAATTTACCTGGTGTGTGAGTATTCTCGATCTCCCTCATTTTATTTTGATTTTTGGAGATTTTTTCTTGTAATTGAGATCTGTTTTGGGACTTGTAATACTGATTCAATAGAGAATGATCACTCGCTGTATGATCAAATTCGAAATTGAAAAGCAATTTTATCGTGTTTAGGGATTCTAATTGAAAAAGTATATTTTGTGTTTTGTTGAGAATTGATTACGTCCATTTTTGTTAGTGTTTGATGCTAGTATGAGTTTGGAAATTTTTACTATTATAAGTTATTTTGTATTGTCTTTGAATCTTTTGTCTTTTAGGTGTTGGAGAGAGACAGCTCTATTAGAACAAGCATTGAGATTTCTTATGGAAATCTTGAAATCTCAGATGAACTTAAAGAATATGTACTAAACAAACATTTCTCTCTTGGTTCTGATTTGGTCTTTTTATAATTCCAGTTTTGTTAGTTGTTTTTCTGAATCTTTTTATAGACATATGACCGTGACTGCAAATGGCTTGAAGGAGGAAACTCGACATGTCCAAAGAAGCAAGAAATGCTTACAAGCGATAACGTCACACCGAAATACGCTCTTAAGAAATCTTATAGATCGATGATGTGAATCACACAGAACCTCCGAAACGTCTCAACAACTCTCAACCGAGTAGTAATGCCTTATCATCATCATCTTCCTCGCCTCCTTCTGAAGAACAGAACATGATCTAAGAACTCCTACAGAAGCTCACTTCTCGAATCTCCGAAGAGCAAAGATCAGCCGCAGGAGAAATTCGCCTTCTAGCGAAACAGAACAACCAAAACAGAGTAGCCGTCACAGACTCAAGGACACGCCGTGACATCGATTCTTAACCTCTCGATTTCCCAAGAGAACAAAGAGATTATGGCCTCCACGTTTAGAGCGGTTCATTGTATCGTTCATGTGCTTAAGAAAGGTGGTATGGACGCTAAAGAAAATGCGGCTGCGGCGCTTTTCAGCCTTTCAATTATACATGAGATGAAGCAGAAAAAGGTGAAGAGATGAAGCAGAAAAAGGTGAAGTAGAAGAAGAACTGCTCATGATTCTGATTTCTTTATGCTCTGTTGCGATTTCTTTCTCTCTGATTTCTGTTCTTTGTCGCTAAGAATCCTAATTCCTCTTTCAATTTCGATTTTGACTTTGACATGTAAGCTGGGGTCGGGTTTCGTTTATTTGGGTTCGGTACTTCGGTTTATAGACAATCACAATTTATAAACGCGGTTTTGTTAAATTGATCGCAACTTAGGAGAATTAACGTTGCAGGTGGAATTAGGAAGAGAAAAATAGTTTGGAGGGGAATATGATTAAATGTATGAATTTAGGGGGGAAAATCAAGAGCTTTTAAGTTTGGAGGGATTGATGCAGAAGCAGTACTCTAGAGGGGGGTTTAAACAGTCAACCTCTCTATCTTTCAACCATTATTTTTGTCATGAAATTTTTTATCTTTCAATCAATTAAATACTAGCTGTGAGAAAATCCAAAAAAAAATATCACTGAATATCAAAAATCACACTAATTATTGGTTTACCATTTAGCATTGATAGTTTGACAGTTCATAAACAAATTTATAAATGCTAGGAAAGAAAAATGTGGATATACAAAAAGTGACTTCATACATCTTATGAGAAGATGGAATTTTGAATTTACTATCCAAAAAAATATTTAATTATAAATACAATGCATAAAATAAAATAATTTTAACCCCAGGTCTTTAGGATTCTGTCAAAGTAAAACTGATTCTGAACTTATTTTTCACAGAAAGATCAAAGTGAACTTTATTGACTCTTATATTTTTTTTATCGCCATTGTTTCTTTTTCAGCGTCTAAGAAAATTGTGTACTACATGTAGATGACATGGTTAAATATTATTTTTTACGTATTCATTTTTACATTAAAGTAAACTTATCGAATAGATTAAGGTTTTGGCTTGGTATTTACATTTCTTCATAATTATAAATATATATTTATCTATGTTTCATCGGAAAGTAGCTTCTAATGAATAAACTTTGAGAGATTTTGTTTTATTTAAATCTTTGAACTTGCAAATATCTGAGAAGACTTCAAAGCTTAATTACCTCTAAGTTCTTCCATCTTAGAAGATCAAAGTTACTTGGTATTTATATTATTCTATTGCTACAAGAGTTGGTATCAGAGTCTAAGATCGGCATAATTAGAGAATGTGCTAAACACTTATTTAATCAATTACCATTTCTTTATTGATATCAAACAAAATATTATTTCTTCATTTTCATCATAATTTATATATCCAACTACACGAAATTTGTAAACTAGATGATACAAAACTTGACATTAATATTTTTTTTTATTCAACTATAAAAAGATCGGTTACATAAAAAACCTAGAAGAAACGATCATTTTTAAGAAGAGGAGTGAAAGATGTGAGATTCATTGATTTTTGCCACAGCTCCTCCCATACAATTGCCTCGTAGTTCTTGCTCATGCCAGAGTCATCAGCCGCTACCACAAGCCGATAATTTAAGCCAGAGACCACTTGAGATTCACCGCTAACAACCGAGTCGAACTTGAGTCCTGATTTGGTCTGCTTGTTGTATTCAGAAACTGTGAATTCACCAATCTGTACCACATGAGGGTCCTTAATGTTGGTAATAGGAATCCAGCCACCCAGACGCGCTGCCGAAGATGCGTATAGAGGGAGGAGGACAAAGGAGATGAGAAGAACGAAGATTACCTTATTATTCATTTCTGCTGTGTAACCGTTTTGTTTCTCTCAAATTGATGATAGCAGAGGTTGTCAGAGTTTCTTTTATAATAGAATTTTGCCACATGAACTTATAATTTTCTTGCTGATTTATGTGATACCTAGCATAAGTTAGGAAGGATACTAAAACACTGGTCAAAGAATAAAAGTTTACATGTGATAAGTTATAAAATATTGGTTAAAAAAAAAGTTAGGAAAGATACTAAAAATTAATTTTTTTTTATTTTGGAGTCCAACTTATGCATACCCTCTATCTTTAGACCATTATTTTTGTCAAGACATTTTTTATATTTCAATCAATTAAATACTAGCGGTAGAAAAATCAAATAAATAAAAATCAAATGAATATCAAAAATCACATTAATTATTTGTTTACAATTTAGGATTGATAGTTTGCCAGTTCATAAACAAATATATAAGTGTTGGGAAAGAAAAACGAAGATATACAATAAAAGACTTCATACATCTTATGAGAGTATGGAATTTTGAATTTATTATCCAAAAATAAATAATTATAAATATAAAGCATAAAACAAAATAATTTCAGCCTCAGGTCCTTAGGATTCTGTCAAAGTAAAAACGATTTTGGACTTATTTTTCACAAGAAGGCCAAAGTGAACTTTATTGACTCTTATATTTTTTATCGCAATTGTTTCATTTTTCAGCGTCTATGAAAATTGTGTATTATATATAGATGAAATGGCTTAATATTATGTTTTACGTATTTCCTTTTTACATTATAGTAAACTTATCGAATAGATTAAGGTTTTGGTTTTGGTATTTACATTTCTTCTTAGCTATAAAAATATATTTATCTATGTTTCATCGGAAAGCAGCTTCTAATCAATAAACCTTGAGAGATTCTGTTTTATTTAAATCTGACTTTGAACTTGAAAATATTTGAGAAGACTTCAAGCCCAATTATCTTTAAGTTCTTTGATCTTAGAAGATCAAAGTTACTTGGTATTTACACTATTCCGTTGATACAAGAGTTGATATTAGAGTTGAGGAATCCAGCCATCCAGACGCGCTGCCGCTGATGCATATATAGGGTGGAGGACAAGGAAGATAAGAAGAATGAAGATTACCTTATTATTCATTTTTGATGTGTAACCATTTTATTTCACTCAAATTAATGATAGCAGAGGTTGTCGGAGTTCCTCTTATAATAAAATCTTGCCACATGAACTTATATATTTCTTGCTGCTTTTTGTGATACATGGCATAAGTTAGGAAAAATACAAAAACATATAAATTTCTTGCTGATTTATGTGATACATAGCTTAAGTTAGGAAAGATACTAAAACACTGCTCGAAAAACAAAAGTTTACATGTGATATGTTAGAAAAGATAATAAAATCTTGGTAAGAAAAAAAGTTAGGGAAGATACTAAAAATTATATTTTTCATTTATTTTGAAATCCAACTTATACATACCCTCTAGCTTTCAACATTATTTTTGTCAAGACATATTTTATCTTTCAATCAATTAAATATTAACTGTAAGAAAATCAAATAAATAATATCCTTGACTATCAAAAATCACAATAAATATTTGTTTACCATTTCAGATTGATAGTTTGACAGTTCATAAACATATATATAACTGTTGGCAAAGAAAAACGAAGATATATATACAAAAAGAGAGACTTCATACATCTTATGAGAGTATGAAATTTTGATTTTACTATCCACGAAAAAAATTAGTTATAAATACAATGCATAAGAATAAAATATTTTTAGCCTTAGGTCTTTAGGATTCTGTCAAAGTAAAAACGATTTTGGACTTATTTTTAACAGGAAGACCAAAGTGAACTTTATTGACTCTTATATTATTTTATTGCCATTGTTTCATTTTTCAGCATCGAAGCGAATTGTGTATTATATGTAGATGACATGGTTAATTATTACATTAAAGTAAACTTATCGAATAGATTAAGATTTTGGTGTTGGTATTTACATTTCTTCATAGCTATAAATATATATTTATATATGTTTCCTTGGAAAGCAGCTTCTAATAAATAAACTTTGATAGATTCTGTTTTATTTAAATCTGACTTTGAATTTGCGAATATTTGAGAAGACTTCAAGCCCAATTATCTCTAAGTTCTTTGATCTTACAAGATCAAAGTTACTTGGTATTTACACTATTCCATTGATAATACAAGAGTTGGTATCAGAGTTAAAGAATCTTCATCATGACGCCTAAGAAGAGTCTTAGATCGGCATAATTAGAGGATGTGCTAAACACTTGTTTAATCAAATACCATTTCTTTATTGATTTCAAACAAAATACCATTTCTTCATTTTCATCATATTTTATTTACAACAATACGAAATTTGTAAACCAGATGATACAAAACTTGACAATTAGTTATTTTTGTTTATTCAACTACTAGGTGATCGGCCTGCACCGTGTATAGGCTATAAAATATTTTATATGTTCAATTATGATTAATATAGTGACAATATTTAATTTATATATGATTAATTATGTATTAAGAATAAAATAATAACATTTGATAATAAAAAATAACAATAAATCAAATATAAAATATTATGAATTTTAATAGAAAATAAAGATAAAAAAATATTAACTAAGATTTAAAAATATTTCTTTGGATTAAAAAATGTAAATATGATAACTAAATAAACGGAAAAACATTAAAATATATAATAATTTTTTCAATTTCTATTTTTGGTCTACATGCATGTGCAAGTATAATATTTTTATAGATATAATTAGTTGTAATATTTAAGTATTGATTAATTTTCTTATGCATTATATAGATGTTATGTTTATATATATATATATATATATATATATATATATATATAATTTTAGTGTTTAACAATAATTACACAAACGTTTGATATCGTTTTATGTCTTTTGAGAACTTTTTATTTTTTCTAGCGTTTACAATAATATATAATTGCAAATGTAAGGGTTATATTGAATAATAATTAAATTCTTATAATATGTTTTGAATTTCTTTATATAATACTTTCTTTTTCTCGTTAGATAATATAATCTTGCCAATATATACATTTTAAGTATATTTTTTTTTACATATTGCTAATTAAACCAAAATGATATCTACCATATTTATTTATCCTAAGAGCGATGAGGTGGTTGGTACGCACGAATATAAAGATTTTAAAAAATATATAAATTGTCTAACAACTACAATTAAAATTAGAGTGTAATCGAGGTAACAAAATGTATGCACGACAAGTTTGCATTCGAGTTTGACTTTTACACAATTAATAATTATATCTACACGCATATTTGTAAAAAAATCAAAGTATGGTTTTTATGTGTTAAAAAAATAACAAAGTATATGTTTTGTAATATATATATTTATAATGTATGATTGGTTTTTTAAAAATAAAATAATAATAAGTATATTTATGCATGTATATATGAGTTAGAAATAAGTGAATTGTAATATTTAGGTGTTGGTAAATTGTTTTTGGTATTTTCCGCAAACATTATTACTCGAGGGAATTACACTTCCGGAGAAGCGAGCAGCGGGGCAGCGTTAATAGATGTTAATTCCGACCTTATTCGTATATGGGGGAGTATGTTATTGGTCGAAGGAATTACACTTCTGGGGGAAGCAAACCGTGAGACGGTCAGACAAGATATATAGAGACTCGCCCCGTCTACGTTACACATCAGGAGGAGTACGCTGTTTGGCTTGGGGGAGTTATATGATTGGGTCATTTCTTGACTGGGGCACGCATCCAGGGGTGTACAGTACTTACTCATGATAGGGGGATATTGGCGTTTCCGGATGAACTGATAGCTTGGCCACTGGTGGACATCTCCCCGGAGGAATTTTACTTCTTGTTTCGTGAGGCGGTAGATAAGAAACCATCTTGCCCCCCCCCCCCCCCCCCCCCCCCCACATTGGGGTCATGAGAGGGGTTATAGTCTTATGTGACCATATGGGATCGATATATGACAACGACGCGGGCTAAGACACCGGCCCAAGGGCCAGAGGTGGCGCTATTTGAAGGATGAATAGATGTTCCTTGCGTTGCAGGGCGCTAACGCAAGGGAAGTCACTACTCGAATGCAGCTGGTGCGGAGTAGGGCATTTCTCGAGGGCGTTACCTCGACTCTCTTACTTCCTGGACAGTCTTTGCATTGTGCTTACGCGGAAGTTTCTCGATTTTTTAGAACGTGCATTTACCATATCTCTCTCTCCTCCCCCTTTTCTCAAATTCCCGGAGGAATGGTGTCTCGGAAGACAAGCAAGTCTGTGAGGGAGCACGCTAAGAAAAAGGGGGAGGAGAGAGAGATATGCTGATTAGGAAACAGATAGCGAATACATGCGAATAAGGAAGGACGTAATCGTGATGAGAGGGAGGAGTTATCCTGCCACCTGAGCAGTATAATCGTAGAATCACGCGAGCGGAAAAGTATGACATCATACAAGCAAGAAATCAGGCAATCACGCAAGCAGGAAATCAAACAATCAAGGAAGCAAGAAATCAAGTAATCAAGCAAGCAAGAAGCAATCAAGCAAGCAGGAAGCAAAAGCAACCAAGAAATCAAGCGGTGATGCAAGCAAAAAAACCAAAGTCCTGCAAGCAAGAAATCAAACAGTCCTGCAAGCAAGAATGTAGCCTCGCGGCCAAGAGACAGCCAAGTTTCGTCTAGTATTGCAGGTTCCGTAAAACCCACGTGCATGGCCCTTGTGCACGGCCCACATGCAACCTGGGCGGTTCTGTTTGACTCACGTGCATGGCCCTCGTGCAACTTGTCCCTAGAGCAAGTCTCGCTCGGGAGCGGGTAGCGGATTTTCTTGTAGGGGCGAAAATTTTATACCGTCGCAACTGTTCGTTAGTCAATTTTCCTAAGTCTTTGGTAGATCGACAACCACCGTTTGGGCCTTCTCAGAACTTTGCTATTGTACTTGCTGAACCTCCCTCTTTCTGTGTAGAATCCCCCTTGAAACACTCACAAACAGATAT